AAAGGAACCAGATGCCATTCTAGAAAAGACCTTGCAATGAGCGGTGTCCTTTCGTTGGATTCGAAAAATCTAGTACCGCCAACATTTTCAGACCTTCGTCTGCATTTAACATTGCAGTTACTCTTGCCTTTTCACCTTTTGAAACTTTCATGCTTATTGCACATTTTTTTCGCGTTTCATAGAGGCTTAGGATTTCGCTGTTTGTTAGCTAGTGGGTAAATTGATTGATATTTATCCTTCCATTTACGTTTTTCAGCAACTGTATGTGTCAGTATGCAAAACTGTCCCATTTTTCAGATAGCAGTCTTTCACCTGAGGGTCAGATGTCCTTAGTTCACCGCTGTAGTTCGATTCGAGCTTCACATATGGCAGTGGCTAGGTCAGTTTTGTTTGTACCTTCCATTTCATTCGATCTTAGAAGGTGGTTAGGGCTCCTGTCCACATTTGGCAACGTCGTCTGACCCCAATGAGCTCGAAGTGCCAACTCGGTGTGGTTTTCTGAGAATTATTCCTTTTTCTTCATTTTCTTTGTTGTATCATTGCTGTGTCTGGTGTGGTAACCTTTATCACCACCTTCGTCGTCATTCATGTGGCTGTGTTTCGCGACACAAATCAGGAGATGTCAGAGCTTTTACTCTATTAAGCAAATTTGGTAGCTGCCTCATAACATTTAGCTCACTGCTATATCGAATATTTCCTTCCCAGTATTCTTGATCGTAATTGCCCTCCTAATGACTACCAAGTCGTCAGTCAGCGTCATTATCGTTGGTGTCTGCAACTTTGAAGTATTTCCCTCGAGGACTTCGTACTGTTTGTTGAATCGTTGCCAATTTATTATCTGCGTAGGTCATCGGTAGTCTTGAAAATCATTCTCGATTGGACCATCATGCATGCCATAAATATTATCGTAATTGCTTACCGTATATTTAGCAGTACGTAATCGTTTTTGTCCAATCTTCATTAAATTAGCTACTGCCTATGCGACACCGTTGGGCAATGCATGATAAAGTAATACAGTAAGCTGTTTTCGAACTTTTTCACCATCATCATCAAAAGTTGCGTTGTCTTTAAATCATCATAGCATTATATACACTACATTTGTTACTGATTTCTGCATTTCTCTCAATCTGTATTTTCAGAACCTTGTAATATTTTGAATAGGAGGCTGTGCCTGAACTCACTGAGAGAAGCTGTTAGCATGACAAACCTCACAGAGCCGTCACTTAGTGCCTCATTGATTCAGAGTCAACGGCAAACTACGGAATTTTTGTCCAAGATGCCCGGCAAGTGGAGACTGTAATCAAAACCATTTGCTAAGATCGAACGATATTTTCATAAGAACAAGCTCTGGAATGAAGAAATGAGAAGACGCAGGAAAAAAGGTACGTTGTTTCAGTTTCAAAGAAAGAAAGAAAACAACAACGAGCAGGTCATATAGCACGACTGTCGATGGACTTCAGCAGTGACGGATTGGTATCAAAAGGGCTAAAAATGCCCAACTAGAAGACCCCAGCTCAGATGGAACAGTAAGGTGCAAGAAAGATATGGAGGCTTGCATCGATAAATCGCTCGAGACAAACTAACTAGGGCACCCAGGCTAGGCAAATGGTGATCCTCGTTTACTACGATGAACAATCAGCCGATTGTTCAGTTGTTGTTGTCATCATAGCCTGTCAATCGTTCCATGTAAAATGTTTTATGCTGAGATGTCAAACTTGAATCGCTGATCGTCAGTACACACAGTAATGACTATTAAACAAATATATTTAGGCAAAAATGGCACTTTGAATCTGAATGACGTTTCGTCGGTTGCCGTCCAAACTTTGTTGGGGCCTGAAGAGGAGGTGAACAACAGGTAGCATCTGATTCAGATTTTCGCTAGTTTATTTGCTTTTAGACTCTCATCCCATCAGAAAAGAATCCTACCATAAAAGATTTGAAGTACGTCAAGATGGAAAGGACCGTAAAACGATTGTCCAACAATCGTAGTGCTTTTCTGCAAAATATCCGTGAAAAACACATGCGGTCAGCTTCGAAGGTAGAAGTTCCGGCTGATCGCAGGTACGAACAGTCATCATCTGTTCTATGGCCCTCTGGCGATTTCAGATGTTTTGCCTATTTGAACTGTGTATAAAGTATACCAAATGCAGATTTACCCCAGCTTTTCTAATGCTATGATACTCGCTCGTCGTTTCATAGTACAGACTTTATTGTATCTCTACACTAACAGTTACTCGTCGCGTTCGCCATGTGTTTCATACG